AGGGGGCTCACAGAGACTGAACGACCAACCAAAGAGTATGCATGGACCGGACCCAGGACCCCTACACTTATGTAGCTGATGGGCATCTAGGTCATCATGAGGGTTTCCTAGCAACTAGAGTGGGGGCTGTCTCTGATATGGAACCTGTTGCCTGCTTTTGGATGACTTTCCCCTATCTGGGATGCTTTGCTGGGCCTCAGAGGAAGAGAATGGACTTAGTCCTGATGCAACTTGATGTGCCAGGACAAGTGAGGGTGGCTCCCCTTTTTTGGAGGGCTGGGAAAGGGGGAAAGGAGGAAGAGGGTGGGAATAGGAGAAGAGGAATAGGGGCAGCAATAGGGAATAAAGTGGATAAATATTTTTTTCACTGACTCTTTTTTTTTTTGCTTTTCTTATAATTTTTATTTTTTATATTAATTACAGGTTATTTACTTTGTATCCCAGCTGTAGCCCTCTCCCTCATTCCCTCCCAATCCCACCCTATATCTCTTATTTCGTCACTGTCCCTCTCTAAGTCCACTGGTAGGGGAGGTGGACTCCCCTTCCATCTGATCCTAGATTATCAGTTCTCATCAGGACTGACTGCAATGTCCTCCTCTGTGGCCTGGCAAGGCTACTCCCCCCTCGGCAGGTGGGGAGGTCAAAGAACCAACCACTGAGTTCATATCAGAGACAGTCCCTTTTCCCCTTACTAGGAAGACCCACTTGGATACTGAGCTGCCATGGGCTAGGTCTGAGCAGGTGTTCTAGGTTATATCCATACATGGTCCTTGGGTGGAGAGTCAGTTTCAGAAAAGACCCCTGTGCCCTGATATATTTGGTTCTTGTGGCGCTCCCATCCTCTCCAGGTATTACTAACTCCCCCTTAAATAAATATTTTTAAATGTACCACACTAAAGAAAATATTTACAGCAACAGAAACTCTGCTTGTATAAAATTCATTCATCTAAAATATTTTCTGAAAATAAAATCTCATATTATTTAAGATGGCCATAATTTTTGTTTTGTAATTGCTTAGAATTATGTTTTATGAATAAAAATATGTAACGTATAAGTGACAACAGTTTTAATTGTTTAAATTCTTATGTTTTCTAATTGTTGTGGAAATATTCGTGTTTTTGTTTTAATCCCAGGTGTGTGATGTGGAACTGATTCAGATGGTCCACAGCAGCAGACTATTCGCCTCTGAGAAGAGCTCTTTACCAGCTGCAGACAGTTAAAGTTTAGGACTCTGGAGAAAGAATAAACGCCAGAGCCCACAGAAGAGAAATTCTGAGAAAGAGCAAGGCTGTGGCTGCTTCCCTCTGTGGCTCCAGGTTGCTGTTGATGTTATTAGACAGGAAGTTGGGGATCTCCTGAAACAAGGATTGGACTGGCTCCAAGAAACTTTAGGACCCTAACAAACAGGAAGTAGCTAAAAGAACTCCACCCCAGTCTCCCACTAACCTTTTCTCTCTTCTACCTGGTGTTCGGGGAGGTGGAAGGTATTGAGGTTAAAGTAGGGAAAAAGAGATAAAAAATGTAAATGAAAGAGTTTTTTAAAAGTACGCCAACCAGCCCTTTACTCCCAGGTTATGTCTATCTTGACGATGCAGCCTTGTCAGGGTGCAGAGGAAGAGGATCCAGGCAGTCCTGATGAGACTTGATAAGCTACAGTCAGATGGCCAAGGAGGAGAACTCCCCCTTTCGGTGGACTAGGGGAAGGTGGGGGATGGGATACATTTGGGATATAAAATGAATAAATTGTAAAAAAAAGAAATTAATAAAATAAAAGTGTTGACGGGTTGTGGAGAATACACATGTTCAAAATGATTTTCACAGGTTGCAATGTTCTTGTTCTCACTAGAATAGAACAGAGTCGTACATTGAGACATTTTTCCAAACTCTCACAAAAAAATGGAGGTTTTGGAGTTAAATATTGATTCATTGCAACCAGAACCTGCTCCATCGAAAATTATTTGAGACAAATAAGTATATGGTCAGCCCAGATGGACTAAGGGAGAAAAAAATATCTACCTAAGAAATATTATGTAAAACCTGGCAATAATGAGGTAAAATAGTAGCAAACCGTTTTTACTAAAAATGGAAATTTTATTTCAAAGAAAGATTTAGAAGTCCAAATTTGAGAAAAAAAAATAACTTTCCCCTCCTTAGGACTGAATAAATGCAGCTTTGTGTAACAACTTTGTATAAGGGTTTTTTAATCAGTCTCTAAACTTTTCACTCTGCACTTCTTGAGAACAAAGTTCACTACTGAAAGCAGGCTCATTGGACAGCAGGCATTCATATTGCCATTACTGCGAAGAAATAAACAGCATTCTATAGTCATTTCTTAGAATAATGTTAAACTTTCCTTTGAAAGCACAAATAGTGTAATACAAAGTGGTTCTGAAACTAAATGAATAGCCCCATGAGAAATTTAAAGGACAGTGAATACTAGCTTCATGGGAAGAATGAGGGTTATTTTGCCTTTAATTATCTGAAGAGCAGTTGACAAAATTTGCCTAAAACAATTATCTAGTTTCATTCCATCAGGGAGGAAAATATGAGACTATAAAGTAACTCTGAACAATGTTTGTCATCTAAAATAAATACCATATTCTAGGTGTATATAAAGAAAACCAAAAGAAATCATTTTAATGTTTTCTTTAAACATTTAATTAAGATCTATTTATAAAAATAGCAAGAATTACAAAATTTCCCTTCTAATCATTTAATTTGATTGAGGTATTTCTTAGCATACTCTCTTTTAAATTACTTTTATCTTCTATCTTTTTGTTTGACAACTTCTTTCAAATCTCCTTATGGGTCTCAGCTAAAAGATTCTTTTCATTAAGAAGACCCCCTGGTTTTCTAGAATGGCTTAGAAAATCTTGATTTGTTTTTTTTTTTTTTTTTTGTCTTGTTCCTTCCTTTTCTTATAAAGTATCACATTTATATAATTATTTTACCTACACTTTGCTATGTATTCCCAAGGACAAACAAGATCTCATCTTTTACTTGTTCTTTTTTTAAAGGTTGTAAATTTCTTTTAATATTAGTTACAGTTTATTAACTTTGTATCCCAGCTGTATCCCGCTACGTCATTCCCTCCCAATCTCACCCTCCCTCCCTCATCTCCTCCCTGCCCCTTTCCAAGTCCACTGATTGGGGAGGACCTCCTCCCCTTTAATCTGACCCTGGATGATCAGGTATCTTTAGGACTGGCTGCAAAGTCCTCTTCTGTGGCCTAGCAGGGCTGCTTCTCCCTCGGGGGGTGGGGAGGTCAAGGAGCCCGCCATTGAGTTCATGTCAAAAATAGTCCCTGTTCCCCTTACTAGGGTACCCACATGGATACTGAGCTACCATGGGCTACATCTGAACAGGGGTTCTAGGTAATATCCATACATGGTCCTTATTTGGAGATACAGTCTCATAAAAGTCCCCTGTGCCCAGATATGTGCCCAGATATATTTGGTCTTTGTGGAGCCCTGTCCTCTCCAGGTTATACTAACTCCCCTTCTTTCATATGATTCCCTGCACTCTGCCAAAAGTTTGGTTATGAGTCTCAGCATCTGCTTTGATACACTGCTAGGTAGAGTCATTCAGAGGCCCTCTGTGGTAGGCTCCTGTTCTGTTGCTTGTTTTCTCCTATATCTAATGTCCATCCCATTTGTCTTTCTCAGTGAAGATTGATCATCTTACTCTGGGTCCTCCTTCTTGTTTATCTTCTTTAGGTGTATAGATTTCAGTATGTTTATCATATCTTATAGGTCTATATAAGTGAGTATATACCATGTGTGTCTTTCTCCTTCTATGATACCTCACTCAGAATGATCTTTTCTAGATCCCACCATTTGCCTGCAAATTTCATGATTTTCTTGTTTTTAATTTCTGAGTAATATTCCGTTGTGTAAAAATACCACAATTTCTGTATCCATTCTTCCATTGAGGGACATCTGGGTTGTTTCCAGGTTTTGGCTATTACAAATAAAACTTCTACAAACATGGTTGAGCAAATGTTCTTGTTGTGTAAATGAGCATCTTTTGGATATATGCCTAGGAGTGGTGTAGCTGAATCTTGAGGAAGCAGTATTCCTGATTGTCTGAGAAAGTGCCAGGTTGATTTCCAAAGTGGTTGTACCAGTTTACATTCCCACCAGCAATGGAGGAGGGTTCCCCTTTCTCCACAATCTCTCCAGTATATATTGTCATTTGAGTTTTTGATTTTAGCCATTTTGATGAGTGTAAGGTGAAATCTCAGGGTTGTTTTGATTTGCATCTGTCTGATGGCTAAGGACATTGAGCATTTCTTTAAGTGTTTCTATGCCATTCTATATTCCTCTACAGAGAATTCTCTGTTTAGCTCCATACTCCATTTTGTAATTGGATTGCTTGATTTATTGCTTTTTAACTTCTTTAGTTCTTTATGTGTTCTGGACATTTTACTTGTTCTTATATGCCAGGGCTAAGTGTGTTTTTTTTTTTTTTTCAACTTTAGAAGCACAACTATTCCAGTGGGTAAACTTATAAGCATTGAAATTTTCAATAAAGCAACTGTCACCTTAGGTCAGACATCATTTTGCATCACAGAAAGCATGTTGACTTCAATAATTATCACAGAAAAAAATCAAAGTGGCTGCCACCGTTATTAATTTTTTCAAAGGCACTTTGTTTAAGAGACAGACTTATCAAGTTTATTATTTGTTTATCTTTTAGACTATAAATACTTGTCATGGAATACACTTTATTAAAACACTCATCTCAAACCCCTCAGAATATTAGCGTTTTTGAAAGCAGTGAGGCACAAAAAGCAGAAATCAACAATATCAAGGAATGTTTGCAAGGTCCCCTTATGGCCATTGAATTCTCTTCGTATTGCACTTGTAAATTCCTTGGGACAATATTACACCACTAAGTACTTTCGTGTAGTTAATATTCATAAAATACCACCTATCAAACAAAACGTAGAAACAAATAGCTGTGAAACAATGTGTCTGGGGCAGACTGAGCTCTTATACCTGTAGGTGATGTGTTTGTGTTGCCACTTCTGTCCAGTTAATGCGTAGCGCTTTCGACGGATGTTGAATTTGGAGCTGCCTCTTGTCTGGTCTGGTACCCCACATCGAGGCCTCTTCATCCAGCTTTAAAAAAAAAAATCTTTTTTAAACTCTTATCATTAACAACTCTTCCTGATGATTTCGAAAGAAGGAAAGATAGCACCCCATGAAGTGATTAGGAAACAGTCCCTGTTCAATGTCTGTGCAATTTAAATCTAAATAGAAATTATCTTTTTTTCAGAAAGAGTTAAGGCTTGCTATGTTACTACTCAAGTCCTTTAGCACATTCACTTTCCAGTGTACTTTGAGATAACTGCAGAAAGAAGTTATTTGCAATTTCTATATAGAATCCGTGGTTGAAATAAACATGCAACCTTGAGCAAATGTCCATTTCCTCATGTCATCTATTAAATGACACTCAGGTATCATTCAATCCAACTTCAGTGTTTTGTTTTTTAAATGAACATTATAATTTCTGATAATAATATTGTATCATAACAACATATTATATTATTTTATAATATAGAATTTTAATTACATTATTTCGTTACATCTTATAACATAGTTGACCACGGGAAAGAATTCCATAACCCTAAGATTTGATTTCAGACTTTCAGCATATTTTTCCATGGGATTTTACTTAACAATTTTTTAAAAATAATATTTCAAAATTTCATTTTATGTATATGAATGTTTGCCTACATAGATGTTTGTGTTGCATTTGTGTGCCTTGTGTCTGTAAGTTCAGAAGAAGGTACTGGATCCCTTGGAACTGGACAGAAGATTGTGACCCACCATCAAGGTGCTGGAAATTGAAGCCAGGTCCTCCGGAAGGGCAGCCAATGCTCTTAACCACTGCACCATCTCTCCAGTAGTTACACGAATTTTTACATTCATCCTAATCCTTCAAATGTCAGGGTTTGTTGGAGCACAAATCCTCTCCCAGCCTTGAGATCAGTGTATTGTTTGTTCATGTGGTGTTTGCCTTTTTTCAGTGCTGATACTTCCAATCATTCATATTTTCCATTGATAACCAAATTCAATAGTTACAAAATGTTTTTTTCAGAACAAGCAGTTCAGTATCACAGACTAGAGCTTAAACATTGAAATGAAATACTCTTTTCAATGTCTTAAATTTAATGTGTAGTCATATGTCTTAAGTCTAACTTGTTTTCTAGGGCATGGCTTTTGATCATTGGCATGTGTACTACCTACACTTGAATCTTCTCCAAGCAGAAAGTTGTTAAGGGTTTTCAGTGTTTTCCTTAGTAGATCTATTTGCTTTTTCTGTTCTCTAGCTTCTTTACAAGCTACTGAGATCATACTCAATCTTTGTGTTGCTACATGAATCAAAAGAAAATGAAAATAATTTGGCATTCTGTGTTTCATCATCTGTACAACTTTTTAAAAATATTTTAAGTGAACTTGGATTTGAAATGGCTGCCTATAAATATTCATTGCATAACTGGGTACTTTCATGTACATTTAAAATCATGGCACCTGGAGGGGAGATAAGAGGAGATTTGCAAATTCAAGGCCAGTCACAATCCTTCTAGGACAGACAAAAAACAGAACACCTATCTCAAAATGTATTCCATTTATCTTTAATATGCAATTTATTGCTTTTGTTGTGGTTTTATTATAAAATTGACACTGCTTTTTATAGAATGACCTCAAATTAAAAACAGAACTTTTTTTGTTTTTGAAAGTGAGTTAACTTTTTAGAAGTAACTTGCTTAAATCAGCTACTATTTTACTATTTATACATGAGGATAACAGAATACGCTAAGGGGATTACTTACCTTTAAAGAAAGAGACTGTTTTAAAACAAATATTTAAAGTTTGGTATTACTGTTGTCGTGATTATTACTGTTAGTGGCAGTTGTAGTAATAGTATACTCAGAGTGAGGTGGACATCACAGATACCAACTACAACCAATCTCAGTCCAGTCGGAACGAATCAGTTATAAGGAAAATCTCTCCCTTTTCAAGTCAAATGAGATGCATCCTCACTGCTGACTTCCAATAGGACACCCCACTTTTCAGGATTAAAGTTGTATCAAGGAATGTCTCCAGTCAGTTTGACATCTGGTTTTATGTTCAGGAGAGCATATCATTCAAATCAGAAATCTTTCTAGCTCTTTGTTAGTAGGTATTACGACAGCTATCTTTGTTCACATGTTTTATACACAGCCACCAGTTCAGAAACTATATGTTTGTATGTGAATAACTAACACACCTATTCTTAACATAAAATGGTGCCCATTAGCTTTAGTAAAATTCAGCTTTAAAATCAGATCCTGATGAGACCTGATAAACTAGGGTCAGATGGAAGGGGAGGAGGCTCTCCACTATCAGTGGACTGGCAGAGGGACATGGGAGGAGAATGGGAGGAGGTAAGGGAGGGAGGTAGGGCAGGATTGAGAGGGGACGAGGGTGGGGCTACAGCTGGGATATAAAGTGAATAAAATGTAATAAATAAAAATGATATTAATTAAAAAAAGAAAATAAAAAAAATTGGAACATTATGAACACCCCAAAACTGAATGCCAGCCAGTTAGAGCACTGGGCGATAGAGAGAGCACTGCAATGCTTCAGACTGACTCTGGGAATCCTCATCTCAAGTCACCCTGTGGTTGCAGCCTTTTGAAGTCTGTGATTAGAGCTGTGCACAGCCAGGTTCTGCTAGGCACAGTTGGAGTCGGTGTTATGTGTTGAGACTGCAGTGAAGCTGCAGGAAGCAGCACTGAACAGGGGCGGAAGGGACAGCCAGCCCTCACAGACACAAGTGGACACCATATTGGTTTGGTATACATTTATCTCCATTTTCTTAGCGAAAAATCACTTTCAAAAATAGATTTTACAATAGATTAGACATGTGTTCATCATTCAGACTTCCCAAATTTTATTTCAATGGAAGAGTAATAGATATCGCTTACAGTTGACTCCAGATTTTTTTTTGAGAAGTGCTTAAAAATATGCTTTTTTAAATTTTCTTTAAACATCCATAGACTGCATCTCTATCAGAAGGAATAGATGCACCACATAGTGTTAAAGGCAAATTGACACAGGTCTCAAACACTGAGGGCTTATATTCTCTATATCAGCTTATTATCTGCCTGCCGAGACACAGGTGCAACTCACAATCCAGACAGTGCGGAGGGAAAACACTGAAGTGCGAGGCTCGGTCACCACAGTCATCCACAGAAAACCAGAAAACTTCGGTTGGTGTCTGCTCTTACTACTGTGTCACCCTCCAGATTAAGAGCTCAATCACACTTCTGCAACTGCCAAAGTGATGCCACCAATGCAATACTGTTTGAAAGCCCGCACATATTCAGACAAAAAAAATTAACTGAAAAAGTATTACTATTACTGTATTAACTTGACAATCTGGAAAAAAGAATACAAATTAAGACTATTGCAAAAGTGCAAGGACCAAATATATCTGGGCACAGGGTCTTTTCTGAGACTGACATGCAACCAAGGACCATGTATGAATGTAACCTAGAACCTCTGCTCAGATGTAGCCTGTGGTAGCTCAGTAACCAATTGGTTTCCCATAGTGAGGGGAACAAGGACTATTTCTAACAGGAACTCAATGGCTGGCTCTTTGGCCTCCCCACCCCCCAAGGGAGGAGCAGTCCTGTTAGGCCACAGAGGAGAGCTTTGCAGCCAGTCCTGAAGATACCTGATTAAACAGGATCAGATGAATGGGGAGGAGGTCCCCCCTATCAGTGGACCTGGCAAGGGGCATGGTGGAGAGGAGGGAGGGAGGGAGGGACTGGGAGGGAATGAGGGATCAGGACACCGGCTGGGATACAGAGTTAATAAAATGTAACTGATAAGAAAAAAATAAAATTAAAAAAAATAAAATAAAATAACAAATATTACTTGAATTTTAAAAAAGTGCATAATTAACACATTAGGACTTTATTTATTTATTTTTGCCCCAGAGCTAAGGACTAAACCCAGGGAAGTGCTCTGCCACTAGGCAAGTGCTCTACCACTGAGCTAAATCCCCAACTCCACAAATCAGAATTTTAAATCCTAGTAAATTTTCACAATAATTTTTTTTTAGAAATGCTACACAAAGTTATAACAGTTTAAATGCAAAAATTACCATCCTGTGTTGAATTAGTTGTATGGCATTATGCAGATTATCCAAACTATTCTACCGTATACACATGTACCAATACACACATACATGCCAAATATAAGAAAATAGAGAGAAGTCCAAAGGAAATATTAACTACTGTCCAAGATAATCCTTTCCTCAAGCATTCTTCCCTTTGCAGTAATATGTGCATGTTAAACAATTAGAAAAAATTCAGGGAGGCCATACATAATGAGCTTGTATTTCTCAATGCGATAAAGTATATTTTATGCTTACTATAATGTTCTGTATGAATTAAGGACTTTAAGTGAGCTTGCTTAAATGAAATAGGTAACCAACTCGTACTTTGAAAGACCTATTTTACTATTAGACAATGGATTTAGTTTTGGTTGGAGAATAAATACTACTATCTTTCCAATGTCAGTGCTGATGAACAGAGAGAGCAATAAAATGTGCTATTCAAACCAATTTCTAAATTTGTTACTTGGAAATGGTTAATTGCGTCAACAAACTACAAAGATTACTACAATTGCAGCAATCACCCTTTATTTGCCCAAGAATAATAGATTAACTCCACCACATGTTTGCTTGTCAACAGAAGAATTGGTTTTGAATTTAGAGACAAAGGAGGGGCTGGAGTGATGGGTAAAGGGTCTGGAGTGCTTACCTTACTGTAGAAACCCTAAGTTCTGCTGCCGGCACCACACTGAGCAACTGACAGGCAGCTCCAGCTGCTCTAGGGCTACTTGCACACAAGCGCACACATGCTCCTTACACACACGCTCACACACATACATAATCCCAAGATAAATACTTTTTTAATATATGACCTAGGCAAAGAGCAACTTGCCTATAACCAGCATTCAGGATGGGAAGGCAGAATGGATGAATGTAAGGAGAGTGTAGCCACTCATAACACGTGGGAAGCAGCCTGGAGGCTGCAGGAATGCAATCTCAAATGAATGAGCATTCATAAAAAATAACAATGAAATAAGTATAGAAATGGACATATAAATAAATGGTCATCAAGAGTCTAAAATTTAACCTTTATTGATGACATCTCAAATGACTGAAAAGCAGTGTTTTAGTAAGGCTGTAACTGTAGAACGTATTGTGTTCTTTTTGTTGTTTTGAGATAGGTTCTTTTAAGCTTAGGCTGGTTTCAAACTCATATGTGGGAGCTAATTTTGAATTCACATAATCACCATGGGGTGTTATGGTGATGTGTAAGAGAATGGGAGAATGGCATCCATAGCTGATCTATTTGAATGCTTGGTCTGCAGGGGTTGGAACAGTGTGGGAGGATTTGGAGGTGTGGCCTTGCTGGAGGAGTTGTGTCCCTGGGCATGGCCTTCCTTCCAGGTTTTAAAGCTGACTACAACCCGGGTACCTCTCTGCCTCTTGATTATGTCTTAAGATACAAGGTCTCAGCTCCAGCTCCAGAACAATTCTCCCTGTTGTTGCTGTGCTCTTTACTGTGACTGTCACAGACTCACCATTTGAAAGAGTATTCCCAATAAAATCTGTATTTTATGATGATGGTGCGTTATCACAGTAATTGACAAGTCCAAGAGAAGCAGCAAGCAATCTTAACTGCTCCATCTCCGTTGTTTTGTTTGTTTGTTCATCATTGTTTTGAGACAAGATTTCACTCTCTGGCCTAGACTCGCATGAAACTCTCTATGTTGGCCAAACTGGTCTGAAACTTGTGTCAGTCATCCAGCTTCTAACTCCTATGTGCCTAGATTACAGGTCTAGACCATTGTCCCCATGGATTTCATATTTTAAAATTTTTGTAAGGGGGGAGTGCTGTTTCAGCATGATTATCACTATATTCTTATTTAGATTAAAAAAAAAAACAAAGAATAAAGCTTCTACAGCATGATTAGAGGGCTTATAATTCACAATGTTTGATATGAGGACCTGAGCCATAGCACAGTGTTAGCAGGCAAATGAAGTCACAGGGCTTCCAGTTTCAGCAACAATAAAGATTAAGGTCAAGCTATCTAGAACAAGGGAGATGGGGGGCTTCAAGGAAGAGAGAGAGGAAAGAGGAAAAACAGAAGGGTTAGTGGTGCCTCTGTAATTTCATCTGGAAATAACTGCCATGTGAACACTGTGAAAGGCAAGGATGCATTGTGCATTCAAACAATAAAATAAATGGAATTCAGGAGGAAAAAGTTGTTTAAAAAGACATAAGAGCAAATAAGCAAGCAAACAAAAAGCAAGCAGAATCACTCATTTGGTTTGAAGCTAAAGTCACTCTGCTTTATTTCTACCATACCCTGTGTACTTAAAAGCAATGCTCTAAACCACTGTGCTGCGTAAATATCAGTGATTATTCAAAGTGTCTGGAACTTTCTCTTCTGTTGGTCACTTTAATCTATAGTCATGAATGCTTCATGTAACAGTTTTAGATGCTTAAGATGTTAATGTTTGTGATACCAGCTGAGAGAATACAGTGATAAAATGGAAATTAGGAATTTTGTAATAATTTATATTTTAAATGGTCAGCATCAGTTACACACACGTTTTAACTTTCACCATTCCAATACTCATCTAGAAAAGTAAGAATTATGTTCACTTCGCACCCCCACCCAGATATAGGACAGTTAATGTCTTCTCTATATTTTCTGAAAACAGCAAGGGATTATAAAGTAAAATGAAAGGTCAAAAACTGGGCCAAGGTGTCCTGCAGAGACTGATACTCCAAGCAAGTACCATGCATGGAGATAACCTAAAACCCCTGCAAAGATGTAGCCCAGGGCAGCTCAGTGTCCAAGTGGGTTCTCTAGTAAGGGGAATAGGGATTGTCTCTGATATGAACCCAGTGACTGCCTCTTTGACCTCTCCCCCTGAGGGGGAGAGCAGCCTTCTCAGGCCACAGAGGAAGATGATGCAGCCAGCCTTTAATTTTTTTTTTTTAACTTTCTCGGCTTTAATATATAGTAAGAAGTAGATGCTTCTCCATTTTGTTTTCTGAAACTATGCAATAATGTAACTTGGATGTGCAAAATGTGACTTGTTTTCCAAATTCTCAATTACTTGCAATTTTTTGTTATGCCTTTTTCATTTTATTACAATTTATTCACTTAGTATCCTGGCTGTAGCCTCTACTTCATCTCCTCCTGTCCCACCCTCTCCTTCTCTTCTCCCCCTAGGCCATTCTCCTAGTCCACTGATAAGGGAGGACCTCTTCCCCTACTATCTGACCCTAGCCTATCAGGTCTAAGTGTTGTGTTTAAAATTCCAAGAAAATGAAACAGAAGTTAGTGGTTCTTCGCCAGGAAACCAGAAAAATGTGAAGAGTAGCAGAATGCTGAGAGAAGAGTGAGGCATAGCTGGCACAATTTTGTGTAATATCCAGAAACAAAACACAAGACTAGGTTTTTTCATATTAGCAAAGACTATTTTTATTTAGAGGATGGATACTGATAGTTAAGAAATGTCTGATGTCTCTTTATGAATAAATAATGACGATGAGTAGAGGTACCCAGGTCTGAGATTTTGAAATTCTATCTCCAATATTGATATGGGATTTCTAGCTGTTGCAGAATGCAGTTAATTTAATATGGACTCTTTTCCCCAAGTTCTGGACAAGTCAGTTCTTATACATACCTCTATGACAGTCACTACAAGAGTTAAGATCTTAATTTTTAAAAACTAATTTGAAGTTTAATTAGCTAAATCAGATGTGACCCTGCCTCTGTGTGATCCTGCTGATAGAGAGATACTATGACTAACTAGTTTATATGAGCATTAGAAAGGAAAACAGAATTTCCGTTAGTAAATGTGGGATTAACTTGGTAAGTTAGAATTTTGTCATGATATTGCATTTGGCTTTTGATATTCAGTTCCTTTTTTGGGAAAATTTTGGCATGATATTGCATTTGGCTTTTGACATTCAGTTCCCTTTTTTGGGAGAAATTTGCATTTTGTCTATTTTAAAAGTTAATGTATGATGATTAAATAACAGAGATATATTCACTTTGTGAGCATCAAGAGTTCTAAGAACAAGAAAGATTTTTGCCTGCCGCCACAGGAAAAAAAAAAAACTATTTTCCTTCTACAGTCTAGAACTAATAATCATGCTTCGCAATACCATACAAACTACTATAAGCCTGTGATAAAAATATTGCCACTATATATTTAAAGCACATAAAGTTACACGGCTAAAGAGGGAATAACTTTAGTGTTGGTATTCACTTGAGGAATCATTTACTGAAGATGTTGGAAGGAATAAAGGATAAAACAATCAATAGATTAGCAAATATTATTACAAGGCATGGACAAGCTCTTTGTCATTGAGACATTTAGACACTTTCAAATAAAATAAAATTATTTGACTATCTCATTTAGAGAACTGTCATTATTGCATATCCAGCAAACTATTAATAGTTTTAAATCTTCTTATCCAGTCCAACATAAGAACATTATTTGCACTGTTTCCCACTTACACCTGTTTAAATATTTGCATCACATCCAATGTGAAGCTGCTAACATGATAACACTTTGTAGAGATGTAAACAGCAGACTCTCACAAACCACACACAGTAAGCAGCTATCACACACTGCCTCTTAAAGATGCATTTACTTTGATTCTTTATCATATTTTCTTTCCTTATTCAAATGTGCTGTTAAAACCATGTGAATAAACCTGACTTTGGATATTATATGTTATGGGGACCCTCAGAAGATTGATTTTGAACATAGGATACATCAGAAAGAGAATTGCATGAGGTAAAATATCCCAAAAGCGGTTTTGAAGTTTGTGTAGTTTCTGAGACAACCTCACTGGACTCAAAAGACCAAAGAGAATAGAAATCTGAGGACATTACTTACTCGATTGTGTTTCTGTCCACTTTTCCTGTCATGTTAATGCCATAGAACTGTTGCATGGCAGCTAGGGCTGACTGCATGGTCTCTGCAGAGCGTAGCACTGACATCCTGGGATCAGTAGGTGGAAGGTAGCCGTATTTTTGTAACCAAACCTGAAATCACAAGTACAAGTCCTTTAGATCATCTTTACAATTGAACACTAATGTTCTGGAAATTAATTTCTCTATATAGTCTCTTTGGTTCATTTCAACACCACAATTGTGTGGTGCTCATCCCTGAGTCAAAGATTTTTGTTTGTTTGGTTGGTTGGTTTTTTGTTGTTGTTGTTAACAGCAGTGAACTACTTGGCAAATTGCTACATTTCATGTAACAGCAGAAATAGTTAGGGAAAGCATTCAGCAGGTTGTGTTTCTCCCCCTGGCTTGGTTTAGTTATCATGTAAGTGATGATATGGAAGCGTAGTATATCTGTCATAACTGGCATTGTATCCGTTAAAACCATAGCCCATGGAATTGATTTTCCAAGTCAAAATAACTAGCAAATATAGAAATTAATTTTTATAGAAGGCAATATTAAATATGCCAGATTTAAAATATGCAAATCAAAAAGAAATCTTCTATTTCTATGTCAATTTCTCCAAAATTGGCATCTCTAAAAGTACAATCTCCGTCATCAGCTTGATAAAAGCTATTTAAAGATGAGCACTGCATTGCTGTCAAGAGGGTGACTGGTGAAAGTCAATCGCAGAAGGCTGCCTCCTAAATGATAAAAGATTGTCAAGATGCTTTTCATCTAAGCTGTGATGAACGGGCTGCAGGGAAAACAATTCAGTCACCTATACAGCAGCGGGGCAATCTGAGAAAGACTCAGTATTTTCTGAATGAACTAGGAACCCAATAATATTACCTGGTATGAGACTCAATATTTTCACTTACTTGTTCAATAATGACTTTAATAAATATACATGAACAAAATTTTTAAGCTCATGTCTTCCATGCTAGAAAGCAGATTGTTGGTAGGTTATTCTTTGGTGCTTAACTACTGAAATTAGGTGTATAACAACAGCAAAGATAAAACTATTAGTAAGACCTAATAATTTATATACACAGAGAAAAATATAAAAATATATAAATATAAAGTAGATAATGAAAAAATAGCATGTTCTAGAAAATGCACATTTGAGTTATGCCTTAGTCTTCCAAAACAAGTGATTGCAAATAACGTAAAAATGAAGTTTTCTCTTTCTTCAATTTTGTCTTACATTTTGCTCTGAGGCATGAAATGCTGTTTTTCCCAATAAGTGACTAGTGGGTAATTCTTTTTTAATTATTAAACAACAGATAAGCTCTGAGATTTTCCATTTTATAGTCAAAGTTTATTTTGAGTGATATGTTAGTGCTATGATCTTTTCAGCTAAATAGAACTTTTTCTAAGAAACTATAAAAACATTCTGAAAAAGATCTACAAAGAAATACTTGAAGATATAACTTACCTGTTATTCTTAATAATGTCTAAGGCTAATAATATAGCATTTATTTTTGTATCATTGCAATAATTATACATGTTCATTTATAGATGCATATATTTACATATATATCTTTCTGTGTATCTATACATATAGCAATATAGATTATATTTAACAGACTGAAACACGGACATCCATCTTCATATGCTGCTACTAGACATATATGCCTTTTTAAAACTTTGATGTAAAATCCTGTCACTCCTATATTACTGGTAACACCAAATACGTCTCCTGAGATATATTTTGTACCTTGGAATCTTTTCAGTACACATTCTGTGCCCAGATGCACATTATGGGTACTCAGGGAATATGTTCTTCAAGTATGCATTTGAGGCCAGCAAGAGGCTGAAGTCAGAGTATATAAAACTCACAGTAAAATCTGTGCTCAGTAAGTCATATAATTTATGCCTTTTGGTATTAAACCGTGCCTGTTCAAGTTGAGATTTGCCTTAAAATAGGACAAGAGTGAAAAATAGGGGGAGTTTAATTAGCCTTTGGAAGAAGATGCTGCAGAAAAACAATCACAAAACGTTTGTAAATTCCTCCATACTTAAAAACAAGGAGAGAGTAAATTATTTGTCAAACTGGGAGTGGGGACAGCTATTGTTACGTTTCATTCATTTTATTTTACTGCTGCCATTAGATCAAGTCTATTTAAGAGCATCAAAACCATTAACAATCGAAGGCTGTTCAAGGAAAATCTCATCTGCCTTAAGACCCAGTAATTCTCATCATTGCCACTAGAACAAAGAACCATGAAACTCAAAAGAATCTACCTGACTCACCTTAACTGTATTCCCCTGTGTTATACTTTATGCATGGATATTCCTACTTTTCTGATACAGCATATTTTCTACATTTAGTGCTTTATCTTAGTGGAAGCACAACCAGAACAATGCTCCTCTCTACAGAATGAGATCAATCAATCAGTCAAGCTGGCCAAGAGATATCACCATCAGTAGATTGTACTAGAAATAGGAAGCACATTTTTTAAAGTGCATTTCACTACAGAAAGAGGTTATCATCATTAGTAGCATTTAATATACCCACAGTAGATGGTTTAGTTACACATAAAAATTTCCTGAAAGAAAATATAAGGGGATGTAAATAAATCCAGTCATTAATGGACACTTTATGCAACACACTAAAAGCTAGCACATTCTCACTGCTAAGTTTCAAATCCAGGACAAATGGCTGAGGTGCCTATTTAACATATCAAAGCAGACTTCACTGCAGGTTTTCCCAGCATCCCTCAGTCTCTACCTCTGACAGGCTATGGCTGGCATACTCTACATATTACCCTGAAATCTGCAGCCCAACAGCTGGGCTCCCCTTCTTCTAAAGGCTCTTCCTTATATAATCCAGACATTTTGATTACCCAAGCCTTTTTGTAACTCTGGTGTCCTCTATGATGCACTCTCTTCCCCTCTGTTCCCTCTCCCTAACTCTTCCCATATCCTAACACAGCTCAGGGTCATGACGACTCTGAACTATCCCAGATGGGTCTGCCTCTGCTATGCTCTCCCATTATTCACAATAAACTTTTGCCTTTACCATACCTAGGAGCAGTCAAGTGCTTTCTTTTCTTTCTTTTTTTAACTTCATTTTTCCATTCATTTACTTTTTAGTCCATATAGTTTTAAATTTTTATTTTTAATTTATGTATTCACTTTACATCCCAATCATAGCTCCCTCCTTCTTCCCCTCCAGGCCTTACCTTCCTACCTGCTTCCCCCAACCCGGCTCCCATTCTCTTCAGAAGGGGTCTTGCCATCAACCCACCCCAGCACATCAAGTCGCATCAGGACTGAGTTCATCCTTATTCACTGAGGCCAGGCAAGGGAGCCCTGTTAGGGTGAAGTGATGTAGAAGCAGTCAACAGAGTTCATGTCATAGACAGCACCTGATCAACTTACTAGAGTTTCCACATGAAGATCAAGCTGCCCATCAGTTACATAGTTGGAGGGGGCCTAGGTTCGGCCCATGCGTGCTCTTTGGTTTGTGCTTCGATCTCTGTAAGCCCCCTTGGGTCTATGTTAGTGGACTCAGTCTTTTGTGGAATTCTTATCCCCTACATGTCCTTCTACCTTGCCCCCACCAACACACACATTTGGCACTAGCATAGAAACAGAATGGTAGATCAATGGAATCGAATCAAAGGCCCAAAGATAAACCGAATAGCCACACACACTTGAATTTTGACAAAGCCCAAATCATACAACAGAAAAAAGGCAGCATCTTCAACATGTAGTGCTGGCCTAACTGAATGTCTACACATAGAAAATGTAAATAGATCAATATTTATCACCCTGCACAAAACTCAAGTCCAAGTGGATCAAAGACCTCAACATAGAACCAGGTACAGTGAATCCATTAGAGAAACTGGGGAAGAGCCTCAAACTCATTGGCATTGGAGACAACTTCCTGAACAGATACCAGATCAGTATTTAATAATGGGACCTAATGATACTGAAAAGCTTCTGTAAAGCAAAGGGCACTGTCAACAGAACAAATGGCAGCCTTCAGATTGGGGATAGCTCTTCACCAATCCTACATTTGACCTAGGGCTAATATCCAAAATATATAATGAACTCAAGAAATTAAACATCACCAAACCAAATAACCCATTTAAAAAATGGGTTACAGAGCTAAACTGAGAATTATCAACAAAGGAACCCTTAATGACTGAGAATCACTTAAAGAAATATTCAAGGACGATGCATGGAGATAACCTAGAACTCCGGCTCAGATGTAGTTCATGGCAGCTCAGTATCCAAGTGGGTTCCCTAGTAATGGGAACAGGGGACCGTCTCTGACATGAACTCAGTGGCTGTCTCTTTGACTGCCTTCCAAAGGGGGAAGCAGCCTTGCCAGGCCACAGAGAAAGACTATTCAGCCAGACCTGATGAGACCTGATAAGCTAGGGTCAGATGGAAGGGGAGGAGGACCTCCCTTATCAGTGGACTTGGAGAGGGGCATGGGAGGAGATGAAGGAGGGAGGGTGTGTTTGGGAGAGAATGAGGGAGAGAGGTTACAGCTGGGATACAAAGTTAATAAATTGTAATTAATATGAAAAATAAAAATTTAATTAAAAAATTTTGATTAAAAAATTTTAAAAAAAATTAATTAATTAATTCAACGTCTTTAGTCATCAGGAAAATGCAAATCAAAAGGACTTTGTGATTCCATCTTACACTTGTCAAAATGGACAAAATCAAAAAAGCAAGTAATAGCACATGCTAGATAGGATGTGTAGCAAGGGGAAGTCTCCTCCATTAATGGTGGGAATGTAAACTTGTACATCCACTTTGGAAATCAATCTGACACTTTCTCAGGAAAATGGAAATAATACTATCTCAAGACCGAGCTACACCACTTCTGGGTACATACTCAAAAGATGCTCCACCATACAACAAGAGCATTTGCTCAACTATGTTCGTAGCAGATTTATTTATAATAGCTAGAAACTGGAAACAACCTGGATGTCCCTCAAATGAAGAACAAATAAAGTATTCCATTTATACAACAGAACACTACTTAGCTATTAAAAATCAGTTATGTACTCTAATAAAACAAAATTTCCTTTAATCTTTAAAGAAAATTCATCTCTCAGCGATTTACAAATCA